AAATTTAGCCAATGTTTAGCTCAGATTGTCTTACAGTATGAATCAGTTATTATTTTCAGTCATGCAACCTCCATTTGACAATGACATTTTATCCAACAACTGTTTTTGTTTAATATAGGTAATGTGATTTTTGCTCTACTCGTTAGAAAATAAGGCTTGTAGATAAAGCAGAGTCTTTGCAACTATGCTTATTCAGGGTCATTCAAACATGTTTTGAAGTTTAATGACAAATGAAATAGCAGCTACSCTATATGTTGATATATTTGACTATGCCATTAGTAAATATTATAGTGTCTTTATTATATTCCTCTGTAGAGGAGTTCTATGTGATGAAAATATCCCACAATTTAAGGGATTTCTGGCTCTGTATACCACGTTTACAAAACTTAAAGTCTAACTGTAGTTATATAAACAGAATGTCTGTAGTTAATATTATTATTTTAATTATTATTATATTAAAATAAAACTATTCTGTTTAAAAAAAATATTAATTCATATTTTTTCTTGGTTATGTATCCTCTGTGTTGCTAAAGTTATACTGRTTGTACACGTATTTTGGTGGTCATGACTTTGTTTTACATTCATCATGTTATGTCTTTCTTCTTTTCGTTTTTTTTCTTTTTTTATTTGCACAAATATTCAACTTGAACTTGTAAAATTTCATGGTAATGAAATACTATATAATAGATGAAATTCCTCTTATTTTAGAGTTTTCAATTAAAATTTCTTCATTGTAATTCCTCAGTTCCTGTCTTATTTGGTTTGACACAAGATACCGTTCGATTCACTTTCGCACAAAGCTGTGCATGCGACGAAGAAAGGTTTTAATTTTTTTTATTTTATCTCAGTGTCATGTTTCTGTACTTAGGCACCCGCGAATTAAAAGCCATCTTGATTGGAAAATTTGATATTTGGCAATGGATTTTTTTTAATGTCTTTAGTATACGACATAAAATGAAAGGATAAAAGACACGAAATTGCTGATCTGTTAATGAGTTGGTGTCTGTAATGAGCATACCACACAAGCTCAATTAGATATAGCTTCTCAGCGGGAAAATTGGATAAAATAAAGCCAAATTCTATTTAAACAGCTATCGCAGGTGGGTTTTTTCGTCACGTTTGTATCGAGTGGTACGTGGTTAGAATCTAAATTATCAAACTGAACGGAAAGTTCAAGGGGAAAGATGCTAGAGTGATTTTCAAAAACCCGTGAACAAAGTGTGGTCAAAGTAGAGTCGGGACGTCTTATTAATCCGTGAATTCAAGTGGTTTTCGACGGGCGATGTAAAACCAAGCCCAATCAAGTGCAAACCCTAAAACTCAGTACAAACGAATTGCGTGCGAACTCTATGAATATACAAAGTTGATATAATGATGTATAAATTAACATATAAAATGATGTTTAATCATTTGTGTTTGTTTGTATTCAAGAGCCAGATGGTGCTGCGCCGTCTCCCGCGCAAATTTTCGGCGGGAAAACACAACTTCCGCTCATGCGATTACAAATCATGCTGTATTAAAGAATTTAACCATTTAGCCATCCATTTGTGATATAAATCACCCTAAAAGCATTACCTTAAGTCTAATTTAATCATAAAAAATTGGTTTACATGGAATATCTTATATAATAATGCCCAGAAAGTTTTCGAGGCGCCTTATCTATCACGTCGTGGTGTAACATTCAACACGATTTCTTCCATTTGATCCATCTCCACAGGACTTTCACTAATTGTCTCCGGATTCGTCATAATAAGTCTTGCTTTTTTTACTACATTCTTTTTTTCTTTAGGTCGACTTAAGGTTATTTCATTTGAACTTTGAGCAATGGGTGTTGTTAACATTCCCGGCAGTCTAAAATCTGCGGTCCAGGAAAACGCGCGCATTCTAGACGGYATTCTTTTATGCTGTGTACTGTCCGCGATGTTTCCCACCAGTATTGGGGTAGGAGAAATTGCAGCAGATCCAACGGAAGACGAATTTCGTCTTTTTGTTGGTAAAGTGGGGAGAGAAAAAGCTCTTTTACCGCGATTTGGAACTGCAAAGTTCACATTATGCGACATTGTCACAGATCTTTCGCGCATTAATTCACGAAAAGTAGATGCTCGTATACAATAAAATACAGGATTCAAGCAACAATTGATGTAGCCAAACCAGTATGCAATTCGTCCCAATGCTTCTGGAAGATTTCCTGGATCTTTAAGTATAATTGCAAGTACAATTAACAAAAAGAAAGGCGACCAGCAGGCAACGAATGTTCCAAACATCATACAAAGTGTAAGCGAGAGTTTTCTTTTCATAGAATTGTTTCTGCGAATTGTGCCCGAAAGTCTTTTTTCGTGTTCGTTGATCTTCCAGTAGATCCTGCAGTAAGCATAGGCCATGAAAGCTAAAGGGAACACAAATGCCAAAGCTGCAAGTACRGTTAAGCGCAGTTTCTCTGCTAGAGACACAGGGAATGAAATTCCACAATGAGCCGTTGTTGGGTTGAAGGAAATGTGCTCCCAGCCAGTAAAAGGACCAAGTGATAACATGGACATAGCACTACAGAATACCCAAACTGCAAGCAGACAAGTCTTGGGTCGCTTCTCCGATATTTTAAAGTGTGTACAAAATCCGGGTTTAACAACAGTGAAAAACTTGTGAATTGTCAACAAAAGRAAGATGAAAATGGACGCACAAAAGAAAAAGTTGTTGAGAAAACCACTGGTCAAACATATCCAATTATCCACAGCAAAGCGTCTTTGAARACTAATAGCCATCGGAAGCGGTGTGCAAAGAGTCAACGCTCCTATATTCGCAAATGCTAAGTTTAAGATGAATAACAAAGTGGGATTTTTGTTCCTGCTTCCATAGATGATATAGCATACATAGAAATTACCACATAAACCAGAGATGACGATAAACGCCAAGGACACTATTTGGATGATTGACTCTTCCAAGGAGTAAAGCAAAGCATTGTGCGGTACAACTGTTGTCAAATTTGCCGATGTGTTAATGATCATTATTCAAACTTTGCGTAATTTGTCTTCTCGGAGTTCCAGAATCGCCCGTTTTATAGAAGAAAGGAGCCAGAGAAAAATGCGAACGTTGGTCCTCAATTTTTGTACCGCGCTCACTACTAAGGGGATCTCGCTGTACTCTGTGTAATTTAAAGGGGAACGGATTGATTAACAAAGATTTCAATTTCCTTTCAAAGTCGTTAGTTAATCCACGCATTTATCAAGTAATAAATAAAGATGCTGGAGCGCTTAACTCACCTCAAGAAGATCACTAATAACCGTCGTAGGAAACACAAATCAGTCACATAGCATATCAAAACCACTTTTGCACCCGTTCCAGTTAATATAATAAACGCCCTGGTAACGCGTTTTTAATTCAAAATTTACTCATCATTTAATGTCCACCCACATCATATACTAATTGCATGAATCGTAAAATCTCTGATAATATATAACAGAATCATGTTATTGTTCTTTTTAAGTCGCCCAAAGGTAAGTGAGACAAATCTCACTAAGTAAGTTTACATAAAATCTCAACGTCGCGCTTTAAAGCGAGTGTTGAAATACTAATAAAACAATTCTCGATGTTTCTTTTACTTAGATTAATATACGGACATACATTGAAAGGTTTCCGAATCTGATTGTAGACGTCACGTATACGGTAAACTGAATACGTCATAAAAATTAGACCAACTCGTTGCACAAAGAGTACGTATAACATCCTAACTTCAACCTTTGTGTAAACCAAGTCTTGAGATTTTTTTCAAAAGATGTCAAGCCAACTTTCTTCGAAGGACAGCTAGTAGACTCAACTTGTCATACTGCCTGACATGAGTTCTTCATTGGTACTGATTTTTCCTAAAGTTTTTTAGCTGTATCATATCATAGCTATGGTGACAGGAATTAATTAGAAACACAGGTCAGTAACTTTACCAGATTTGGTGTTAAGATTGGATCTTTGTAATTGGTGTCCTATGAACTATATACAGGCGATACAGGCTGAAAAAGCAAAATAATGACAGCTGACAGCTGATTTCTTTCCCGATAGTGAGACTTCAAAAGAATTAATTTATCTTATCTGCAAGAGCTTAGAAACCAAACATTTTCAAGCAATTAAACCAGTTCCATCTTCAAGTTTCAATTACGGTCATGAATCGGACACTGCTGAATGACCAGTGATACTCGTCTATGCTGCAATTCATTAAGTTTTCGTGATATAATGAGTTTCAGGTATTAGCCGTTGCTTAAGGCGAAGTTTGATGATACCAGAAGATAAATGGTACATATGAAGTTTCGTCAGAGGCATATCAAGGACGCCCATCTAAGTTGAGGGACGGACGATTTTCATAGAAATGCAGAAATAGAAATTTTAGCGTGTTCAAAATAAACTATTGTAAGAACAGCGTTGTAAAATATTTACTGAAAATGACTAAACATTTACGTATAAGTGTACATTTATCCTGTACTTTCATCATAGAATATTGTCATTCAAAAATGGGCCTTTGCATTATTTCAGTGGGAGTGTGACCAAAAATATCTAAACTCTGGACCAAAAAACACTTATACGAAAAAAGACGCGGCGAAGTCAAGGAAGATTGAAAATATCCAAATCGCGAAAATAGCAAGATCCTGCCTAAAAGTCACAAGCTTTAATCCTCTCAAATTGTAAATCCATTTTAAATTCAAACCACTTAAATGGAGGCCATTTGTTACCATAGCAAAGAGATAAGTAAGCAAACATGTATTCTTTACTGTTGTGATGTATTTGCTTAATCTCTTGTATTTGTTTTCAAGTAAGATTTACCTATGATCTTATGAATATATTATAAGTTATCATTTTTTTGTCCACAGCGTATTATAACTTTTTTAGTCTTAAATAAAAAGTCGAGCAATAGAAAATGCAACAAATATGCAGGCATAATTGAATATTATTTCGTCCCCACCCCTACGCTATCTTGCGCTATTTATACACATTATACGCGGGAAAAACTACTGTAAGAATAGCCGGAAACATTATATACCTGTATACAGATATATATTTTTAATATAATTATTGAGTACTACCATTGAGCAGGAGAGCCGAACGGAAAAAATATTGCCTCGAGCTCATGTAAGCATACATTGTGGAGATGAATTTTTTGAAACCTATTTCTAATCAGTTCAATAAAGCTAACGATATAAAAGTAAACCATTTTGAGAATAAACGAAATTTAATTTCTAACAATTCAGTGTGGATTGGTTATGCTTCCCGTCAGTACGTCCCGGTCGTGTAAAAGGCTTACAACGTCCAACAACTGTGAATTTTTCCAGTGTTTTTTTTTAAGAGCGTGCGCATGCGGTCGAATCTCCATTAAATATTTTTTTATTTACCGTAGAATTTACTGAAATGCACTTCTTTTCTTTACATTTAATCATTGCATTCCTGTTTTCTAATAAGCTCTGTAGTCCTAACACTCTTTCATAACACTAGATCCTGCTCAGCTCTATCATCGGACACAGTTTTTCCCAGTTACGGGACATTCGACGTAGAAACAGAACACAGCTTGTTACCATTATGTGAAGTAATTCAGAAATAAACTAAAATAAAAAGCAGTTAGACCTCTGACTTCCGCAGCTGCAATTTTGCAAAGTAAAAACAGATATAAGAAATTCGCGTCGTACTGCCAAAAATACTGCGCCTAAAAGTTGGGCTTCCTGTTGTGTCGGTGGGAGGCGAAAGGCAGGCTGGGAGGATATTGAAAATTTTCCAAAATGGCGGCGAAGTTTGCCCGTTTTCATGAGAAGCGTTCTTATGAAGTAAGTCCTATACTCCTGTTTTAGTTGGTCTTATAAGATAAATGATGTATTGAATGACTTTTCTATGACCTTGTAGACGTCTGCAGATCAGGATATGTTTGATCGCGAGGATGACGAGGAGTTATTGGAGGTCGAGAAAGCAACTTTGGACGTTCCCATTTCAGAGGTAAAGGCCGGGGTAAAGGGACTTGGTTTGAGAAAAAAAAACAAAATATAATATCGATAATCTATGGGACCGAGTTTGCGGAGCATGTTTGCTTTCAAATCCTCTCCCCTCGCTAGTAAGTTAGAGAGCTTGGAATAATTCATGGTTGTTCATTTTATAAGCTCTATAAACTGATGTAAGCTTAATTATTACTACCAGTTATTAAGATACACTTGCATTATGCATTGTAATTATTCCTTGGTAGTACTGCACGGTTTCTGTCATCCACATCCTAGGACAATGTTGGTTATCAACTTATTCTCAAGATGGGATGGAAGTCTGGATCTGGATTAGGAAGAAAGTTGCAAGGTATTTCTTGTCATGAATCAGTAAAGTGAATTCCTATTCATTTTGCTAAGCAATTCCTGAGTAGTTGCTTTGTTTTTCTTTTCAAAAATGAGTTGCAGTTMATTTACCAGGTTTAACATTAACCTATGTTAAGAGATGTTTAGACTGGCTTTGTGCTACTCCTTGAAATCCTTGAAAAGGCCTGGAATCTWTTGAAAACCTGTTTTCAATGGCACTTGAAARATCTTTGATGGTAGAGAAATTGCTAAAACRCCTGGAAAACCCATCAAATTTGATACAATCAAAATGACYTTTTCAATGTTTTGATTTAATTGATGTCAGAATCCTCCAGAAACACAAAACAAGATATGGCAAAACAGTCCTTGTAAAGGGAATTGACATTTTGTGCTTAAATCATTGACATTTGATATGAAAATGTTGCACAATCCCTAGATTGGAACAGGATATTTACACTGAACTATGTTTCCTCATTCAGGAAGAACAGACCCAATACCAATTGTATTGAAGGAGGACTTTACAGGCATTGGAAAAATGAAAGAAGAGGTATGAATGAATAAGAAGATAATAAAAATCATCTTTAATAATATCAAAGTCTAGTTATATTCTCATTAGCTGTCTCTCCTATAAACAATATCTATAGATGGCTCATGCTGAAGAGAGTACTAGCAAAAGGAAAACCTTAGAGATTGAAAAGGAAGAAACAGAGGAATTAAAGCAGAAATATCTGGTAGGGATGAAGTAATAATAATACATGTGTGATATCAACA